CCAAATTCGTTATTTAGGTTTAAGAAAAATTTAAAATTTTTCTTTAAGTTATTATTTACGAAAGCAATTTATACATTTATAAAAATAAAAATTATAACTCAACACATCATTATTTTAAAACTATGTGTATGACATTAACTTTTATTGAATTATTATCATTGGATTCTAAAAAAGGTTCAATTCATCTGCATTCATAGGAATTTAATAAGAATTATTTTTTTTTTACTTCAATCACAAAATTGTTTTAAATATTTGTAAAAAAGGAGACGAATTTCGTATCACAAGAAGTTCAACACAAATGTTCAGTTAAGCCAAATTAAACACATTTTGGGGTTCAAGAAATTCCGTTTTATATGTATGACATAGGGCTTATTTTTATTTTTATTAAAATAGAGTTATTTTTTTTATTATTTTCAGTGAAATACGTTTAACGTGAAAATGCTCGAGAAATATCGGTTAATATGAAATAATACAGTGGTCCCGAAAAACTGCATTAGTTTTCTTTTAACACGAAACGAAAATCGCTTACCCGGAAAAGATTTTTCTGGGAACGAATAAAATACGGAAAATACCAGCCACGCAGGGGAGATTTAAGAGGGATGTGAAATGAGAGGTGGGTTTTCGCATGCATTGTAGAAAGGAGAATAACTTGGTTTTGAAATACTTTTGGAATATAACGTGATACGAACCAATTTTGTTTATCTAAGCTACTTTCGCCTTTTACTTCTACAAACGCCCCACAAAAACCTCTCATCACTTATAATTTGGCTTTGAAATTCGGTGTTGAGAGTAGTACACCACAGGGAGAGTAAAATTCATTGAGTTTGGTTTGCGATTTTCTTTTTTTCTATTATAGAAGAATTTTTACGTGTATTATGGAAAATAGCTCGAGGGAAAGCTAACTTCTATATCTCTTAAATTTAAGGTGGAGCTTCTTAAGGCTGTTGATCAAAAATAGAAGATAAAAACGGAAGTCTATAAAGATTTTGGTATTGCTAATTTTGTATTGTCAGCTATAATTAAAAAAAGAGTAAATTACGGAAATGCTTTATGCACATCTATGTAAGTAACTTAATTTTAAGTAAGTCAACTTAATTTTACTGAATATGTTTTTGTTTTTTTTGCAATATCCTTTAACACGAAATTCTTTTATATGAATAAATATTTTGTGTCAAGCGATTTTCACTGCATGTTTCCCAGGAATTTTTTTAATGTTTGTTCTGTACTAAATAAATAAATATTATTTTAAAATACCACTTTTGCAAGTTCATTCAACTAGTGCAAAGAATTGTAGTATTATACAGAAATATTTGCTGTATTGCTAATTTAGTGTCTATTATATACATACGAAGGCTGTTCAATAAGTAATAAGACTAAAATTATAAAAAAAGTTGTACCTTTAATCTTCATAATTTGCATGGTCTTTTTCAAAATAACTTCCGTGGCACGTAATGCATTTATCCCAACGTTCTGTCCACTTCTTAAAACATGTAAAAGTTCGTTTTGTGAGAGCTTTTTCAAAATTGCCTCCTCAGCCTTTACACATACTTTGTTGCTTGCAAAACGTTTGCATCGTAATGTGTTCTTAAGTTGAAGAAACAGCAAAAAATCGCATGGAGTCTTATCAGGACTGTATGGAGGGTGTGGTAAAATCTCTACTTACTGCGAAACATTCAGTACTCAATGAGCAATATGTGGTCGGGCATTGTCATACTGCAATAGGAAGCGATTTCGGAGCAATGGACGTTTCCTTTTAACGTGCTGTATCATTGTTCGCAGGACATTCGGGTAGTACAAGCTGTTTATGGTAGTACCGGCTTCGGCAGTGTATTGTTACACAATTCCTCCTTCGTAATAAAAAAAATTATGGTCATAACTTTACCAGCTAATTTCACGGTTTTCACTTTATTGAGAGTAGGTGAAGATGGATGTTTCCGTTCCCTGCTTTGTTGTTTTATGGTTGGATCAGTGATACAACCAAGCTTTGTCTGCTGTGATGAAGCATTTTAAGATATTGCCGCCTTCTTATTTCAGTCTTTAATCTTATCGTATCATACCAAAGGTCTTCGATGCAGATTTTTGCAGATTTTTAATTCCATTTCGACAACTGGCCACGTCTCTTTGGCGCCCGCAAACACACTTCGGTTCGAACATGTGATAATCAAGAACATGAGTCTGTACACGCCATCTATCGATAGCTTTTGTCAATACAGACAACAAACTTTTCTTATGCCACAGAAATTAACATTCCGATGAGAGGTTTCGTGGCAATAAAATTAGTCTTATTACTTATTGAACAGCCTACGTATATCCTACTGGAACAGCAGGTATTGCTGTTAAGAGTTAGGTATTGAGTTAAAAGTAAAAAGCGTCTTTCGCCTTAACGAAACTTGTACTTCTATTCCAAAAGAGAGAGATAACTGTATTGTGTAGCAGAAATTTCAACCCCCTTCGGCAATTCTTAAGATTATACATCAAAAATCTGAAGAAGTTAAATCTTTATTCAGATCACAAACGTACCGTGGTTGAGAAAAAGTAAAGCATTGCTTAATGCCAGAGCTTTGAAGCGTTTTTGTCGTGGCTCCCAAAAATAATGTTTAGAACCGCAGCGGCGAGTCAACAATAACCGTTGTGTGTGTGTTTTGCGTCTCAAAAAATAATCTTTCGCATTCCTCCCACAAGTTCAAAAACCCATTGTGCCCGCAGCGGAAAAGGGCATGGATAGCCTATAAAGAGTTTTAGAAGCAAATCTCCATTTCCCTTTCAAAAATCCTTTGCCTTTTAACATCGAAATCTTTACACAAGTTCCAAGTCACTCTACAACATTTCTCACTCGCACCATTTTTATCCCCATCACCATCTCTCCCCCTTTCGCCAGATAAAAGACTAGCCAAAAAAGGCGAAAACGGCAAATACCAGAGGAAGGAGGGGGAATAAATAAATAGAATGGGAAACCTCCAGGGTCTGTCTGCCTTTCAAACCTCCTCCTTTTTCATTCTTCCCTGCCCTTTTGTGAGTGGTTCACATCGGAACCTTCCAAAAGCTGCTCCTCTCTTCGCAGTGGTTAATTGAAACTCTTATGTATAGGGAATGAGTTCCTCTCAACAATGAGAAATCCACCCTACAGCGGGTACTAATGTTTTCTGCCCGCTGAGTTCATTACTTATTTCATAAGATAGCTTGTCTTACTTCTTTCTTTATATTCACTGCAACTTTGCCGAGTGTTTTTTATTTCTTTTTAAATGGGAAAAGACAATGTGCTGTCTGTTTTCTGCCATTTGCAATCCTGAAGATGTGAAGGCGAGACAACGAAATGCGTTTATTTGCAATTGCAAACGTTGTTGGTGTTGGTATTTTCTGAGAGTGTTATTAAGGTAAGAAGTGTGGCATTGGGAAGCCTCGGCGGTATGGCATTGTGTATTTGTAACAAAAAAAAATATGTTCACATTATATGTAGAATTAGGGCTAAATTCAACAAAATTGAGAAGGGATTTGGAATTTCCATTTACACTGTTCTAGATATGTTCATTTGAATTGTATGAATTTGTAGTATTCTAAATAAACTGAAGATTAGCCTCTAATTGTATATAAAGGTGTTTTTTTCTTCAAAAAAATTTTTTAAAAAAATGATGCCGCATTATCTCTATTTTAGATTTTTCAACTCCTACTACTAGTTCACTCTCTCCTTATATACATAGATATTTATATGTATATATATATATATATGTCAGGTTTGAAAAGCTTAGGTTCATAATTAAGTAAGTAATATATAAAAATAGAGCGAACTCTTTACCATCGCGTAAGAATTTGTGGGTAAATAAGCCTATTTAAAGGTGGAGCGAGCGCTGACGAAGAACGCAACACCAGGACAGCGAATAGAGTATTAGCTCACTGTTACCTCTCGGCCAATGGCAGACGAACTTTCGCCTGCCTGCAAAAATTAGGATTTTACTTCAAGACCGCTGAAACCTGCCAGTTTGATCCCGCCCACTTTCCACGTCCACTCACCAATCAGGACTCTCTCAGGCGATTAAGGCAAAACAACGCTAAAGGCCGTATCACACGTACACGTTTCAAGCAATTTTTACTCAGTTGCCATAGCAACCGCTTTAGAACAATTTTTTGCTAGCGAGCTCAAAAAGTTCCAAATAAAATTGCTTGAAATTCCAGCCAATGGGGTTCTTCGGCGCCCTACGTCATAAACAAGATGGCGGCTCCGGTTTCGTCTAACACTTCAGATATGCCGTATAATATTTTAATGGTGTATAATATTTTAACGGCGTATAATATTTTAAATAGAATGGTGCTCTATTTTTAGTTTACACCCATCAACAATTGCGCAAGCGAAATGAAAGAAATAATTTTGATGTTCATTTTACGAAGCAAAAAAATCGGCGAGTAATTTTTCAATGTGGAGATAGAGCGCGGCTGACGTCAGAGCGTGTCGTTTTGTTTACGGCAACCCTTCCCCCTTATAGATTCGGCCAAAAATTGGACGAAAAAATTGCATGAAAAATATACGTGTGATACGGCCTTAAAGAGCTCAATACGATCAGTATGGGACGGAGGAACGCTTCGTGTTCCAGTTCCCAAAGATGTCCAGCGTCGTCGACGAAGAACGCATACTCGAAAAGGCTTAGCTGGTGACTCTTGTTCGAAGTATTGTTAATGTTCTACTCGGTTGCGCGCCAAAGGGCCGTCATGTTGGATTTTATGCGATTGAAGCAAAATAAAGAAGTTATTGAGATGATGCCTTCCTCATTTTACCAGCAGGCCTGGGGCCTGACATATATACATATATTAGTTCAAATTTTCAATCGTTCATAAAATCCATTCAAGTTAAAATACACTTTTTTTTAAACTTGCAGTGGTAGACACTTGATGTTAATACAGTTTTTTCAAATATTAATTCATTCATTAAATTAAAAAAAATGAATTAATAGTAACATACAAAAATAATAGTCCAACAGCATATATAGAAAGGTAAAATCGTTCGTTGTATCCCTGTAACGCAATGGATAGCATGTTGTACTTCTAATCCGATGATCGTGGGTTCGAATCCCACCTGGGATGTCCTAATTTCTGAGAATGTGATTTCTTTTTTGTTATCCTATTTCATTAGAATAATTAAATTTAATGAATGAATAAATAGTAACAAAAACAAACAAAAAAAGTCCGACGCCCTATACAGAAATAAACATGGAAAACTGCGAGGAAAATCCCTTTCTATTTTGTCACTTAATATTGTGATTCTGTCATATGCATATTTATATAAATTGTAACTATTTAATGAAAAGTAACTATAATAAAATGTTTTTGTTGACCTAAGTAGGAATTGACTTAATTTTTTAATATAATAATGATTTTCAATTATGTTAATTATTTATGCTTATTTTTGACTAATAATACTGAGTACAAATTGATATTACAGGTAATTTGGTAGAAAAAGAAAATAGTTGTTGATTCTCGCTCACATGCTACTTTCAGTTTTAGATCAGGGGAATCATCTGGCGGGCCGCATATAAAAATATATAACTTTACATTAAATTTGGACTCTTTACAAACATTTATGGGAGTGAAAATTTAAAACAAATGAATTTTTATTATTGTTTTTTTTTTTTATTTTTCATGTATACCAACATGGATAATATAAGAATAATAATGGAATGGTCAAATGTTTAATTAATGATATACTTGTTTCTGAACTCTCTCATTTGTTTTTTACAAGTCGATCTCGGTGCGTGTCATAGATAATGTGGCAGGTTTTCGTCCGTTCAGTTTAAGCATGACCTTACGTTTAATAAATTTCAATTAAAAAAAAACAGATTCGCACTAACAGAAGCAACGTGATAAAATAGAAACAGTTATGGGGGATTTATTTGTTAAAAAACTCTAAAAACAAAAATATTGTCCTAAATAGCTAAATGTAGTAAAGTTATAATGAATCATGCGGTCCACATTCAATACCCTGGTTTTAGATGAAAAACCCATTGAATTTCTTTTCTTTTTAAATATTCATTGTTCTCTATAAAAACGCTCGACCTTTCACTGGAGCAAAGGATATGCAGTCAAACCTCTACATAACAAACCTCTATATTGCGAATTTTTCTATAGAGCGAATTTTTTCCTGGAACCTTGAACATTTCACGATTTTCTTCGTAAAATAACCTCTCTATAGCGAAGTGCATTTTCTATAGAACGAACTTTTTCTTTTGTGACGCAACTTTTGTTCTCCCTTTTTTAAAAGTATTTCTGAAAAAATTTCAAGTTATTCTCTCTTTAATACATTTTATGGTAGTCATAAATCTTGAACTAGTTTTACTAGATCCTAACTCGCCGAGAGCAATAGAGTTCTGGACGTTTCATTCAAGAAGTGTAAGTTTCAACCCCCATTGCCCAGTTCACTAAAAACATCTTCGATATCCTCTTTAACCCCCAGTGGAGTTGTTCCGTGTCCCCATGTTCTATTTATTAAATAATGTATGTTTAAAATTACTTGCATGCTTTCAATTATAAAATGTCCTTAAAATTCCTTCATTTTAGTATAAAATTATTTTTTTAATATTGAAAGTACAGTGAATTCTTCGGCATTCTTTTTTCTTGTTTTCCTTGTAGTGTTTCATTTCTTCTTTTTTTGATGGGCAAGATATATAAAATAAGCATATATTAATTTAAAAAATGGTGTGAATACTTATTTTTTTACTCTATAGTGTTTATGAATTTAAAATTTGTTTTATGGGGTTTATATAAAGTATTTTAAAAGAGATGAACCTCTATGTAACGAATCTTCCATATAACGAACTTTTTTCCGGGATTTAGCGACTTCATTATATAGAGGTCCGACTGTATATGGAAACTGTTAATTTTGACATGAGGTAACAAGGAGCAGCCTCGTAATTCTTTCACTTTTTTATATCGTCATTACATAGATGTTTGCTGTGATACACTACTGTACTAAGCATCCAAGCTGCGTGAAATGTTCGCTGTGACCAGGGACGTCTAATGACTTCTTAAGACCCAGGGCCTCTATGCAAATGTAAGCTCCATCTATGACCCTTAAAAGTGGACCATATGTAGTCAAATACTCGTACAAATAGTAACCCGCAACAAATAAATGTGCATGACATACAATCGCACAAACCCACTAGCCCAACTGCCATCTTTTGACTGAATGAGTAATGAGAGTGTGTTGTGGCAGGCCTGTACATAGACGACGATCGTCACATATAGGCACAATTGACATATCGTACAAAATCCCCAGTTTTTCGGTGAATACAATCGGAAATAACATTTGACCGTTGAAATGATTCGAATCATCTTCTTAAGGCTGAATCGAGAATGAGACGTGGCTCCAATTGTGGACGAGGCCCTGGTACCGGGCCCTATCGACCCATTTCTTAAGACGTCTCAGGCTGTATGTATCCTGCAATAGAATATGCTAATGGTTAGCGTTTCAGTCCATACGTACATCGCAGGCGTCAGTTGCCTCTTCAAAAAGTGTACTTCAAGTTTAAGACTTCATCACCATCCATATCGCATTGCTGCTTTAGTATTCTTGTTCACAAGATCTATCGCCTATCGAAGACATCTGATAGATGATTGCAAAGTGATTGCCCCTCCTGGCTGCACCAGATCACCTTTGGCATTATGTAGTCGCAACATATGTTACCATACCTAACAAGACGTTCAAAGTTTCCTTGATTCAATGCTGAGGTGTTGGAGCAGAGATATCTGTCAGCATCGACACTCTATACTAGTTTCATTATCCTCTTCGCAGAATTCTGTGTTTTTAACCATTTTGTCTTACTTCTGTGTGTTATCTCTAATAAATTGCTCTTCTAGCTGTTATAATAGAAGTGTAGAGAAGAATTATTTCAATAATTTGACAATGGGACAAAACTTATCGTTTATCCAACGAAGTTTTTTGACGATGTGGTGGAATGCCTTTTTTTTTTATTTTATAGTTAACAACAGGAATAACATGTCTATCACCCGTTTCGTGTATTTGTGGTATTACTCGGATTTTTTAATAATTTGCTTAAGCGAATGAGAATTGCTCTTAAATATTTCAAAGCATTTTTATTCAGAAGTTTCATCTTTCCATTGCTGTAGAAAATGTGCAGTTTCCACTTTTATATATTTAATAACATTTCGAGGGTGTTACTAGTTGCTAATAACATTTTATTTTAAAATGCTTTTAATTAGATAAGAAATAAAACTGATAAAGTTAGATATATAGAAGCATTCTATATTTTATTATATAACCATTTACAAATACATAATTTATAGATATATTTTACATAGAATTTCTAAATCTGTAACAATATTTTTAACTTAATGCATCTAAGATCACTAATATTCGCAGCTATACAAAAAATACTGATGTTCCTTCCGCACAAATGGTCATATTTATTGCATAGAATAATGATCATTTTTCCTGTAGAAAAATATTACAAATTCATCAAATGATTGTTTGAAATCACTTTCAGTATTCAACCGTAAAACCTAAGATATGGAGCGCCATGCTTTCCTTTAGTTGATGGGAAGCAAAAAGAAGATTGCACTCGGGTTCTGCGATTTATCAAATAAAATAAAGAAAAAGCTCCAAATCACTTCAATTTGATTTCTCTGCGCTGAAAAATTCTTTTTCCTTCGGAAAAAAAAAACTCGTTATTTTCACTTTTCCTTTACCCTTGAAACTATTGAGGGTAAGTGTACATAATTCCGACTCAATGTTGATTCTTGCTGGGTTTGGGGTTGTCGAGAGAAAGATTCCAAGACAGCCACAAGGAGTTTTGTTGTTTACACGGTAAATTTTCACTCGGAACGCCATCAAAATCTAGGTCACTGAATTTTTTGGTTCCATGGACCGATTTCTTTAACTGGTTTCAATTTTTTCTCGAGTCAAATCGATCCTCAACTCCTGTTCTAAAGGGGGTTGGGGTGTTTCCGTGCCATTTATTTTGTGATATGTCGCTTGGAGGAACGCATTTGAAAGTTCGACAGAGCAGTGCTTTGTATCTGCACTCCAGTATATGCTTTTAATGATGGGGATCGTTATTATCTCTTCATATTACTTTCGTCTCTCTTCTTCTTTTTGTTCTTTTCATATTCGATGACTCTCCTTTCAATGGGAAGGTCTCGATACATACAGAATATTCTGTCTCGAAATTGATTATAATCTACTTTAAGAATCATTGTATATTTTGTCGAGTAAAATCAATATTTATAGGCTTATTAACTTCAACTGGATACATTTTCATTTATTTTGTTACGAGTTTTATGTAAAATAGTGCTATAAATCTGTATTTGGATGTGTACAGCATTTATATTACTCTGTTATATTTATCTTATGTTAAAATTGTAATATTCGCAAGCAACGCAGTCCCTTACGTTATAATGGTGATTCAATGGGAATTTGGCAAAATCTTGGCGATTGAGCCAAGTTGGCTTCATTTTAGATGGACAAATCGGCGACTTTTTGGCGAGTTCGGGACCTTATAGATTCTTCTAGAAATTAGTGGAGAAACCCACTAAATTCACGATCAATAACGCAAGCGGTTCTTTCTCGAAAGATCCACCGGACCTATAAACAGAGATGCTTGCCGAAACGATTTAGTCTAATAGCCGTGAAGTACACCGCAGCTGAAAAACACCACTTTCGTCAATTCCCTATCAAAGACTGTTCAGATATGGGATGGAGGGTTGCTTGCAGCCCATATTCCCAAAGATGCACTCTCAAGTAACGACTGAGTCTTGTTTCGACCAGCGATTAGTTAACTTGCCTTGACCGAGCGGTGCTTGTGAATAATCTTTTACATAACGTGTATTTTAAACACTGATAATTGTGTTTGAGTGCTGTTGAGTGTGTGAAGACCTTCTGAGGTTTATTCTGCGAATATTTCTGTTGAATCCTGTATTTAAAGGATTGTTTTCTTGACAGTAAATTCTCATCGCCTTTAAGACTGATTTGCTTAAAATCGTCGGAGCCCGATCAACACAACCATATGTTTTGTACTATATAACTTAGGCTGCCTTCGGTCAATGTAAAAATAGGACCCGAATTTGGAATG